TCGATTCTACCAGTGTATCTGGGTCTCAGTAGGTTTGAGGGTAGACCTCCTGCCAGGGAGGGTGATAATTCAGCCAAAGGGAAGGCAAACATCTTAGACCCCTATTTTCCTGCCTCTTCTATCATCCCATTTAATTGCTTAGGGTGTAGAAATTTTGGGAATAAAAGATGGAATCAGTTCTTTGGAATTACAGCAAAGAGAGTTAGGTGCAACCTGGGGAATAGTGTCCGCAGGCACTTCATTGATAGGGGAATTGTCTTCGAAACTTTATATCAGATGAAAGGTACTGGAAGGTCAGATTCTTCTAGGGCTAACATGAAGCATGATACGGAAAACATGAAATGTTTTCACTTACGATTGAAATCAATTCAAAATGGTGTAAAAAAGAGGACTAAACGTGGACAACTTACCAGAATCACAATTCAGTGGGCTATCAGGTTCTGGGTGAGCCATCAAAGCAATTATAGCTCTACAAACAGACTGTAGTGTCCAAGCAGGGCTCCATGCATTCTTCAAGATGTCAAGACAAATCTCTCCTGTCTGGAAGAGAAATAGGCAATACAAAAAGGCTAAAGGCTCAATTAAGCATCTAGCAAACAGCAAAATATTACACTCCACAAAATTTCTGACCATAAGAAACACCAGAAGAGGGATGTAAAAACAAATGGGCAAATCAAATTAGAACCGGAGACATAAAGAATGAAAGTCAAAGACCATGGTTCCTATAACAAAACAGAAAACAAATGAAGAAAATTAAAAGAAAATATAATCAAATGCAAACTGTATTGTCTTCAACTCCTCCCCGAATTTATCAAAATCAAACAAATTCTGTAGAAATTAAGGATTACCTAAAAGCAGAAATTTTCTAACTCTAGAAAGAGCTTAGGTGGAAAAGAGTTATCACAAATCTCACCCAAATTCTCTCTTCACTAACCAAATGAATTGATAATCTCAAAGTGCTAAATTGATTAGAATCCAAAATTAACTCCTGTATGCATTATTATGCAGAATGTTCACAGATCCAGTACAAATACGAAATGCTCCATAAATATCATTTCTCCATTATGTGCATTTGTTCAGGGGCTGATAGCTCCTTTGGAATAAAACCAAAGCACCTCAAGTTAGGAAATAAAAAGTGATTATACAATGACAACATTAGGATCCCATCTCATAGACTCCAGCATATTTCTTTCCTTCTTCTTTCTCTCATCAAGTTCAATATTAAAGAAGAGGACAAAGTAAAGACATCACATTAAAGGAGGTGTACCTTAAAATGCACATTTGGATGAAATATTTTTGTCAAGAATCGCACTTGAGGAGGTTGCAAAGGATATTGTTCAGGAACAGCAAAAGCAAGTTGGAAGACTCCACCCTCATATGGAGTCTCAGATGGTCCCTACATAAAAAGGTTAGTCAGGGCTGTCAAGCAATATCACTGTATACCATTTTCTCCATTCTAGTTGAACCTACCTTGATTAGAGCAGTCCACTTGAATATGTTGGAATCATCACAAACTAGCTGAATATCTGGATCTGCTACTTTTTCTCTTTGCACCTCCTTGTATTCCTTAAATAACCTTGCCCTTGATGCCTGCACACGACACACAATTTACAGCTTACAGTAATTCATAAACATTTTCAGTAAGTGCTTCAACAATGCTGCCATGCAGGAAAAAGCACATTACAGGTGAAACTGAATCACACAACAAATGCTTAACAATGACAGAACCCAAGCAGATCAGTAACCAAACCCACAATTGTCAAGGTAAAACAAGAAAATACTAAGCAGTGACATTTGTTAGAGTCATGTATGCTTCACCAAAGTTTCATAGTTGGCGGCAAATATAACTTTGTTTGTTGAATATCTAATCCCCAAAAGGTGCAAAGAAAGCAGGCAATGACTCAAGTAGCCTTGTTTAATTGTCTTTGAATTTTGATACAGACTCCTAAATTCTCAGACAATCACCATTTAACCAATATAGTATTGCTAACATTAGAAATAAAAACAACAAAAGTATAATTATATTCCACAGCTAACCTGCATTTTCTATTGATTGATTGCTTCTTGGAATCTCAATTCTATTTCACAGTTCCTATATCAACCTGAAATAAAAGCTGCAAAATTTCATGAAACAACAAAATTTATCATCTTCATGTAAAATCTAAAGGATCTATAGCAAGAAAAACAAATATGGAGCAGATTGGAATGTTTAGAAGCCAATAAAGGACGAAAGAAGAGTGCAAATATGATTCAAAAGCTTTCGTATATTTTCCCTGGAATTTTCTTGCCATCCAAACGGCTTACGGAAAGATTTTGCAGCAGATCAAAAGAACGAATCGATTGAGAAGGTAATTAATATTTTATTAAGAAATTGAGCTCAGAATCTCACCGCGGTGAGGTTGCCGGCGACGAGAGGAAGGAAGCTCTCGTTTCCGTCGTCTTCGATTGCGGAGGAGAGAAGGTCGATTGAGGAGTTCTGATTTTCTGCGAATCGTCCTATGATATCCATATGGACTCCATGCTGTTCTAAACGGGCTAGGGGATAACAAGCCCAGAGTCCAGGACCAGTTTAGGGCCCAATTTTAGGGCCTATATGAATTGGAAAAGACGGACCGGATAACAGACCTGACCAATTGCGGTCCCAATATCCGGCCCATTGGGTTCTGCCCTCTTAAGACTTCCGGATAAGAATAAGACGTACCAGAATAATCTAAGAAATGCAACCAAACAGACTACTGGCGAACTTTACGCACCCCGCGCAAAATATGACGCTTGTAGTAAATAAACCCTAGAAAATCTTAAACCCACGTCCATAGGATTTTTCCCCTCATTTTGCAGAAGCTCAAGATCGTATCAGTAATGGCTAGTTCAACGATTGTATCAAGATTATCATCGTCAACTCGATTACCTGCTCTCACTGTCAAGCTGAAAACCAGCGGATCAGTGTTACCCACAATTTCCCCATTGAAATCGAGCTCCCCATCTCAAGTTTCTTCTTCAATGAAGCGCATTTCTGGGATCTCAAGGTTAGATTTTTTTAGAGTAGTGTTTTATGATTCTGTGTTTGGGTTGTGTAAGGGAAAGAATTGAAGTGAAAAATTTTGGGCTTACTAATTTTTGGATGGAGAGTGTGAGAGATTTTGTTCATGTTTCACTGAATTTGAGGGTTGTTATTGAGATACAAGAAAATGGTGTTGAATTTTAAGGGAAATGATATTCATAGATTCTCGAGTTGAGAAATGAATTTTCTAGGCAATTAATGATCAGCAGGGTTTGTATCTTATTTGTTCTTTCTTTTATACATGATTTGGGAGCAATGAGGGGTTCAAGACCTGAATCAAATGGAGCAAGTTTTTGATACTTTTGATATAACTTTGGTTTTCTTATGGGCATTAAGGTTACCGGTGGAGCTGAGCTGCTTAATCTCTATGCTGCCGTTGCATAGCGTGGTAGCCTCTGCTCGCCTAAGATCATTACTTTCCATTGAATCTCTGAGCTGGAGCTTGATTCCACAAGGTTGTCTCTTTTTCTCTCTCTCCAGCTTAATTATGAAGTTTGCTTAAGCTTTAAAGCAAGTGGTCATTCATGGTTGAATGGAGTTTTGATTAATCTGTAACAATGCATGATGCACTAAACTTGATTCCCATGTCATTATTCTAGAGCCCCACTAAATCAAATTCTTGGTCCATAACCGTCTTTTTCTTCTTTAAGTTTTTGTTCTTTATGTTCTTATCAATCCAATTGCACCCCCTGAAGAAATTTGAAAAGGGTATCACAAGACATAAGTACATGTTTGGTAAAATCTTGTTGCTTTCCTTCAACCAATGAAGCATTGATATTTGATAGAGATGAACTCTTTTCAAGAGACTGGATAATTTTTTTACCTCATCCATAGTCAAAATGAATCCTTTCCCTCTATTCAATAGAAAGTGGAAACTATATTACAACGAAATTCTGTGCTCTCAAGTCTGATCATAAGCGTTGTTTGAAGTAGCAGTATGGCAACTTAAGGACACTTCTAGATTTTTTCGTTTTCCAGATATTTCTTGCTTTTGTCTCTTTTTATGTGTTTGGCACTTGAGATGAGTTGATTACATGTTGTAATTCCTCTTGTGACAATGCTGCAGGTAACTCCTTACCTTTATGACAGAAGCCTTGTGTTGAAGATTGTCAGAATGGCCTTATTTTCATTGCCATGAAGTTTTTGTTTGTCTTGAACCTCAATCCGAAAGGGTAATAGTTTTCTGTTGTTTCTCATGATGTAACCAATACTTTGTAGCTTGGCTGTTCAGAAACCAGAAAATATGGATTGGCAACAAAGAGAACATGATTAACTTTTAGTTGAGCTAATTGAATCCTAGCAGTTGCTAAATAAAATTTTTGCAAAGATTCTTGTTAGTTTTCATTCTGTCCGCTAATTATTACTCATAACCACATGTCATGAACACATACTGAGTAGCACACGCACGTGGACAGAATTTCAATTTTTTTTTTTTATGAAAGAATTTCAAATTGAATCTTGCAATTTCAAATTATTTAATTTAGAAATGTGCACATTCAGTTGATTAAAAAGAACTAAAAATAAGTCCTCCAACTAAAAGATATTAAATCCCAGAAATTCTGACTAATCCAAAGGAATTGATCTTTCAATTTTCTCTTGATAGAATATACATGATTCCAATGCCAAAAAACGTGAAGCACAACTGAGACACGAGGTTGGTAAAAGAAGAAAATATATATATATATAATTAGAAAATGAAAGACAAGAAAATGAGTTAGCAAGCCAAAAATATTGTGTAGAAAAAAAAAATAAAATCAAAATCCAATAAAGAAGTGCAGTTTCACATGCTACCAGCTCTTCCGGATGTGGGTTTTCCTGGCTTGAATTTCGCAATGTCAACTAGGTCGCCAAATAACTTCTCCTCAGGTTTCGGAGGCTTGCTGGGTGGAACGTAAGATGGTGCTGAACCCTGGTACAAAGAATTACTCAAGCCATTGTCGTCTCTAATAGACAGCCCATACATTCGCTGGTGAAGATACGATGCCGCTTGATGCTGACCATATCCATACGCTGCCATTTGGTTGCCATAGATTTGCTGAGGATACATAGAAGACATCTGTTGAGGGTACATTGAAGCCATTTGACCAGCTGGCATCTGCTGTGGAAGCATTCCCATATATGATGCTCCTTGGAATTGTTGGGGCTGCATACCAAACATATGGCTGCCCTGAACAGTATAGTTATTGATTCCGGACAAGTGACCACTTGTAAATGGCTGAATGTACATACCCATGCCCACCACTTGATCATTTCCCATTGGTTGAAGTCCCTGAGGCTGAGAATGTGTTACAACAACTTGGGTAGCAAGTTGCATTGGGGGTGGGTATTGAGCGGCTGAAGTAAGGCTAGACACTGGACTGTAGTCTGCAGTAAGGCTAGACACTGGACTGTAGTCTGCTGGTTGTGCTTCCCAAGGAGGTGGTGGTAGTGACCCAGTGCTGGGGGAACCTTCTCATTCAAAAAACGTAAGCTTCATAAAATTTAATGTAGAAGAAGCAAGAGTGATTAAAATAGTTTCAAAAACAGAGATGAGGCATGCTGTAACCGGTTATATCTACCCTAAGAATGTAGATTTGTACCAACAGTAATGTGTTTCACTCATAGGAAAAAGCCTTTAATGAAGAGGAATCATACCATAAAGTGGTGATTGAGGCGGCAGCTGCTGCTGGCGGGCAAGCTGACCATTCCAGGGAGGAGATCCCATGTTTGGAGCAGTTCCATTTGAATAAAATCCAGCTTCTGTAGTTTGAAAATTCTGATGCTGCTGAGGATTCAAAACATTGGATTGTCCAGCTAAACTGGAAGATTGAGGGTTGACAGAATTTGAATTGTTACTGTTATCAGAAAACATGTCAAACAGAACAAGAGCATTGTTCTGCACTAAAGGAATTGTTGCTTGCGTGCCTTGTGAATCTGCTACAGGCACAAGGGCCAGGGAATTCTCCACCTTAGGTAAACTGTAGTCATCACCACTCAGCAGGTCTATTTTGGGGTTAACTGCTGTTGTGGGAGTTGGACCATTAGTTGCAGGAGGTGCAGGAAGCAATAACTGATTCAGTGGCTGAGATCCTGCATCAGTGATTGAGGTTGCTCTGCAGACGGTTCAAAAGATCTCAACAATTAATTTTAGTCTATATAATTGTCCAAAATGTCTATTTGGAAAATGTCTATGTACAGAATCATTCCTCAATGCAGAGATAAAACTGAATGATGAAATCTAGGTATAGAACCTCACAAATATCTTTATAAAATTACAATGCATCAAAGGAATAAATTAATCATCCTCTTTTTATTTATTTAGGAATTTCAGGTGCATGGAAAAACTGCAAATTCAAACTTAATTACCTTCCATTGGACTGTTTGTGGTTATCTCCAGTATCAACTAGGGGAGCATCAACATTTACAAGTGCTCCACTGGGTTCAGGCTTGGGTTTCTCAGTTTTAACAGAACTTCCAGAAGCTATAAATTCATGCTTCGCAAGTACACGTTGCAAATCATCATTCAATGCTAACCCTTGACATAGCAGTGATTCATCCCTGCATGAAAAAGAGATACAATTGTGATATTTTTTAAATTGAAATATATATTAGGCCAAACCCCCTATTTGCACCCTATACATTATTTTTTCCTGAGATCAACACCCTCAAGAATTTTTACTCCCAGTCAACACTCTCCATAATTTAAAACCCGTAAAAAATCTAAAAATTAACAGTCAAACCCCGTATTTGCACCAAAAATTAATGGTCAAACCCCCTATTTACAACTTGACTTTGTTGGTAAATTGGGGTTTTTTGGAGGTTTCAAGCTATGGAGGGTGTTAACCAGGAGTAAATATTATAGAAGGTGTTGACTGTGAAAAAAAATAATGTGTAGGGTGCAAATAGGGGATTTGACTTATATGTTAAGATTATGAATCCCCCTGGGGTTTTGCAAAAAGGCAGAAGATAACTACCGAAGGAATTCTTGCCCAAGTTAGTCATCAAACTTCAGTTTATCAAAATTGGAAGAAAATTCAGAGAAATACATTTCTCCTAACCTATACAAAGCAAAAAAATCATACACAACTTGATTGACTAGGCATATAGTTGACCTATCACCTACCAAAGGAAAAAAAAAATTGAAAGGTCATTTTGTCCCTCACTCTATAAGAATATTATAAAGAAAACCACAATAATACAACAGACAGCACAATGAACAAATCCCACATCAACATAACAACATGTCAATGGGCACTGTGAAATATATCTGAAACGTATATGAAACAAGTACTAGGAAAATGAGTCCGTACGAAGTCGAATTAACAAGGTGTACCACTCTTTGTTTATATGCACGGCACTGCTCCACTAAGTCAACAATAACCTCCTGCCTAAGTCCCTGTCATTTGATAAGAAAAGGTGACATTACCCAACAAGCAAAAGGAAAATAAGCTTAAAAAGTTAGAACCCTCTATAAAAATGTTGAAAAAGCAAGGATTTGAGTATGAAACAGAAAACTTCGAATATATTGATAATGAAGATCTAGAAAGTTACATAACCTGCCCAAGAACTGACAAACCAACTGATTCAAGCATAACCAAACAATATAAGATCATAAGATCAGATTCAATAGAATTCAAGATATATACACATTTTTTGTCCACAAATAAATAACCACTTTTTCTACATTTAAAATTTAAAATTGTGATAAAGTACCTCTTTATTGCCAGGTTCCAATGCATTTAGCATTTCTGCAAGGACATCCATGATGCCTCGTGCATTCTGAATTTCTGTCAAACTAGAAAATAAAATTCAAATTAAAATCATAGATGCATCATCAGCAACCAGAATATAGAACCATAAGTAATGTTAGTAATGTAATGTAGCCATAACCAGACAAATTCTCAGCACTGAATAAACTATAACGCACAAGTCAGTCCAGTCAACAGAAAATTCTGACTGCTCTATTCCAAGGAAAAATGTGTAGAACAATAGAGTCTCAAAACCCAAGCCACCCCCACCTCCTAGCCACTCAAGACAGATATCATATCAGTGCATCTCCAATCAATCATTCAGTACTATTTCCTTTTAAATTCCAGACTCCAGAATAATCTTATAACTAGTAGTAGGAAGCAAAAGAGTACCTCAAGGTTGGGAACTCAGCCTCTGCGGAAGACTCAGCTGTCTCCTGCCGATTATCGGAATTGCGAATATTTGGGGGATAAGAACTCAAAGGATGTGTTTGCGTTGGTGTAAATACAGGTGCAGACCTCTCAGATCTCTGCGGGAAAACTGCTCCTGCTTGCTGAAATAATAAAGTAATCTGGTTTAGAGAAGGGAAGATGGAAAAAGGAGCTATTTTATGTTCATAAGCAGAACATGTAAAACAGTGTGTTCTAAATAAATGACTAAGTCATGCGAAAGCAAGTTGGACCAGATGAATGCCAAGAAAATCAGTATTGATAAAAGAATCCTCTGTAGACATACCAACAACTCCTGGTATACTATATAATATTGTGGATATCTTGACCTTGGTCCACCCAAAGCTTCTTGCCAAGTCTCTATTAAAATTAGTATCTTCTCCTTGACATGTAAGTCAGGCTACAATTGGGAATTACAAAAATGATGAATAAATTTAACACAAGAAAATCCACATAACAAGTAGGAGCTAAATAACTTGAAAAGATACCTTTTTCTTGACTATTTTCACCATCTCAGGAAGAATATCTCTCTGTGCTACTTGCATATGGACAATGTCCCCACAGTTCTTTGCAATAGTCTCTAATAGCTAGAATATAGCATGAGAGAAAAAAAATTTAAATAAGTTTAGTTCATTTGTGAGAAAAGTTTACCACAAAATCAACGAAGTGATAACTATGTTTATAGATTAGGGATATAAACTTTTCAGAAAAAGTCCCAACCAGGAGATTCAATTTCTGAAGCATAATTTAACAACACAAAACTGAAAGAAATGTTAAAAAAAAATTATGTTATATCCATTTTCATCATTGTACACCTCAAAAAATATAAAACAGATTCTTTAACCATGAATGCTTCTACTATCATTACCGAAACATAATTGAAAAATACAGTATACAACTACAAAGAAATTAAGAATGTTATCTAAACAACAAGAATTGAGATAAAGTTTGATATATTACATGTAAAATCTACTAGAAATGTTTTCCATTTAACCACATGAACTCCCATTTTCACTTTATTAAGTTCCAAAATTTTCAAGTTAATATCACGTTATACCTCAATTCCCAGGGATCAATAAAAGATGGCTGACATCCACATGCTCCACTCCACTAGTCAAGTTCCTCAAAACAAACCTTCTCTAAGTAAATGGTATTTTTCTACCCAAAAAAATGGGATATAGACCAAATAAATAAATTCCACCACTCTTGAATGTTATAATATAAATGAAAACTAAGATGATGTGCAAACCAGTTAAGATGCGTATACTTATCAACCATTCAGAATGTCCACTTGTGTGTCATACAACAGAATCCAGTTTCAGGGAGCTTACTGTCAGTGTGAGAAGTTGAACTTTTGAATTCTTACTTCCAAGCCGCTTTTTTATGCCTTTAACAACATCCTTTGCTTGTCTGATAAATAAAAATCAAACTTCAAACACCAAACTCAGGAAAACTCTAATTTTTAAAATAAATAAAATAAAATAAAATAAAATAAAATGTCAGTTAAAAGCAAATCCATCCTCCTCCCTCCCTCCTTTAGAAGGAGACATGTAAAAAGTCTAAAACTAGCACCATAAAATTCTTGATGTCTAAGTAACAAATCATGTAAAACTTGTACTAGCTGTTCTTAGCAATCACATGAAGCAAACGGTCCTGCAATCTGACACTATTCCTCTTTCTTTTCTCTCATGTATCAGAATTATATGAAGAAATTGTAACTGAGGTACGTGATTAATTGGAAAGTATAATGTTAACAACCTCACTTATGATTAAGTTTTACAAGTAGCTAAACTTTTTCATCACCACTTCGTAAGCACCCTACTGACATTTAGAAACCTTTACCTACCTTACCAAGCTGATTTGTTCAAAGAAAATTTACCAAAATTGATACATAGTTTAGAGAAATGAAGAAATGGAAATTCAAAGTCATAAATTTCTTTTAAATAATAGGTTTCTTGTTGCGAAATCAATAAATTAAAGGGAGAATAAACGAACGAAGAAACAGGAGATTTGGAGCAGTTCACAAATTAATTTCAATCCTCAAGGAATGAAGCAGGAGATCATGAACGACAGCAACTCAAGAAAGAAGAAGGTCTGTGATGCGTACCCAGGGTCCTGATTGAGCACGTCGCAGATCTCCATGTTCATGGCCCAATCCGGACCGATCAACATGTCGCTGGTGGCTCTCTCCACCATAGCATTCACCATCTTCGCTCGCTCAAAAAATTCAACCGCTGAGAGCAATCAAATTCCGTCAACCGCACACTCCTCAACGAGATCGCAGAGAATTCAAGTTCTCCTACCGGCTATTCCGGCGACTCTCCCTCGATTAATATAACAAAAACAAATCGAACAGTTCCTCTCTCTCCGCTTTCTCCCTTTCGTTCTGTCTCTCGAACGTCTTATCAGCGGAGTTTTACTCTCCCATTTTTCCGTTGAGATTTTTTAATTTCTTTTCTCTTTCATTCTTTTTCTTTACTAATTATTTTAGTAGGAAGGCAATAATAATTAATGTAAGGAGAACCAACCGTGATAGTCAGCAAAGACCCACACCCGCCGTATTATGGTATACTTCTTCTGATACTTTCCGTCCAAATATTTCTGGCCTTATATTAGGCTAAACGACGACATAATGTTATTTTAAGAATACTTTTTTTGGCTAACTATCTAGGGAAAGGTGGATATTTCATTATCAACCAAATCAAGAACTTTGAAAAGGAGGCACTTGGGCCTTCGGGCCATGTCAAGTCACGTGTATAAGTGCATTTTTCACCTCCTCAGATAAACGGTTCGAATCAGAACTTTGTGAATTTGTTAAAAAAAAAAAAAAGCTTTGGAAAGGGGTATAATTCACAATGGAAGCCTGTTAAGCCCCTAGACTTTCTCCATTTTCTCACAATAGCCCTCAAAGAAAAAAAAGGGTCATGAGGTACTTTTGTTGGACCAGTTCTCATGTTTCTGGATTGGGCTTGATAATGGGAATGGGCTTCGGAAGCTAAATCCATAGCCCAAGTGCAACTCTTCCTAGTTCCGTCTTTCACTAAACCCTAGTTTCACTCTCTTCTCCCTCCCAATTTCTTCGTTTGCGCCACTGCATCTCCTCCGGTCATCCTAATCAGCAATTCCGTATCTTCTCTTCGGCAGACGATGGCAAGCAATTACGATTACGAAGATGCTCCGGCGGGATACGAGGACCAGCGCAGGCAGGATCTGGGCTATGATCCGAACTTCGTACCTGACTCCGTGAAGTCATTTGTGGTGCACCTGTACCGTCACATACGGGAGAAGAATGTTTACGAGATCCACCAGATGTACGAGAATTCCTTCCAGACTCTTTCCGACCGTCTCTTCAAAGATACGCCCTGGCCCTCTGTCGACGCCGTTGCTCACTACGTGGACAATGATCATGTATTCTGCCTCCTCTACCGTGAGATGTGGTTCCGCCACCTCTACGCCCGCCTCTCCCCCACACTCCAGCAAAGGATCGATTCATGGGACAATTATTGCAGCCTTTTTCAGGTAGTTTTTTTTGTAATTCTTTGTGCCAAATTGTCAATTCCTTATGTGTTCAATGCTTCAGTTGGTCTTTCCTGTATTCTATAGGTCGTGTTGCACGGGGTGGTCAATATGCAATTGCCCAACCAGTGGTTGTGGGACATGGTGGATGAGTTTGTGTACCAGTTCCAGAGCTTCTGTCAGTACAGAGCCAAAATGAAGAACAAGACCGAGCAGGAAATTGCACTTCTTAGACAGTATGATCAGGTTTTTTTTTCCCTATAATTCTTGACCTACTATGGTTTTTTGCTTTAGTATCTTTTACCAAGGAATCAATGTAACTGAATGCCATTGATAGAAATTTGAGCTGCATTTGATAGTTCCAGTTCGTGCAAACAGGAAATTACCTATTATAGACTATATAATCTGTTAGTTGGATTTTCATTGATTCCAAGACATGCTTGCTTTTGTTAGTTGCTAAGAAAATGTTAAGTACTAAAGCAAAATGAAATTTGAATTGTACATGAATATTTATGCTGTTGTTGGAGTTGAAGTTTTTACTCTATTACAGGCATGGAATGTGTACGGGGTGCTTAACTTTTTGCAAGCTCTGATGGAGAAGTCAAATATCATTCAGATTTTGGAGCAAGAGAAGGAAGGCCTTGAACAATTCACTGCTACTGATGGTTATGATTACAATGGTGGAAGCAATGTCTTGAAGGTTTTGGGATATTTCAGTATGGTGGGTCTACTTCGAGTCCATTGTCTTTTGGGTGATTATCACACTGGCCTGAAATGCTTACTTCCAATTGACATTACCCAACAAGGCGTATACACCAGTGTTATTGGGAGCCACATTGCAACCATCTATCACTATGGGTTTGCAAACCTTATGTTGCGGAGGTATGTTAGTTCTTATAGTTATCTTTTATTTTCTTTTCTTTATTTTTATCATTTTAGGACTTTTCCATAATAATGCATTTATTCTTAATTTGTTTATAATATCTGAAATTTTTGCAAGCTTCTGTGTTAAAATATAGAAATATCTGGTGTGTGTTTTTGAAGTTTGAATTACTTGACTGGGTCAAACAACAAGGCATTGATTTTGTAATACATACTGGCATTCTTTTTTTTACCATGTTTCAAGGATGGATGCACAATTTTAAGAGAATTTTTGGTTAGATGGTCAAATCTGCACAAAGATTTCATCAATTGTAAAATGCGCTCGAGCCTTATGGTTATACCTATAAATTCCTTTGGTTCCACTTTGAGGCTTTCTGTTATCTAGAATTTTTCAATATGTCAGACACATCATGCATCAAATTTGCAAATAACCTCTTTATTTAATTTTTTTTTCTGCCTCTAATAAAATATAATTGAATTCCAGTTCTTTTGTTCATTGTATGTTATTTTTTAATGATAAGCAAAAGTTGCTTCTTGCAGGTACGTGGAGGCTATCCGTGAATTCAATAAGATTCTCTTATACATTTACAAGACAAAGCAATATCATCAGAAATCTCCACAATATGAGCAGATACTAAAAAAGAATGAGCAGATGTATGCTTTACTGGCAATTTGTCTTTCACTTTGTCCACAAGTGAAGCTTGTTGATGATACAGTGAACTCTCAGTTGCGGGAGAAGTATGGTGAAAAGATGAGCAGGATGCAAAGATATGATGATGAGGCATTTGCTATCTATGATGAGCTCTTCTCATATGCTTGTCCCAAATTCATTACCCCATCAGCTCCAAGTTTTGAGGAGCCTCTTGTAAATTACAATCAGGTTAATAGTTCTACACATATCTGAGTGGTGATCTTTTAATGGTGTGAGTTTAATGGCAGAAAATTACTTCTTTTTTTTGTGTTATCTTTGAGAGGCCCCTATGGCCTCTTCAATTACTCTTATCTATTTTCACAAACATTATCTCTCATAGGGTGGATATTTACCCTTCCTCTTTGGTTTTGTCTGACTGTATGAACTAAATGCTAAATACTGCTAAACAGGATGCATACAGACTTCAGTTGAAGCTATTTCTATATGAAGTGAAGCAGCAGCAATTATTATCAGGTGTCCGAACATTTCTTAAAGTGTATTCAACCATATCTCTTGGGAAGCTTGCAAGCTACATGGAAGTGGATGAGCCCACTCTGAGGTGTGTATCTCATTTATTTTATTTTTGTTATATGATTGAATATCCAGTACTTAATTCTACCATATGTTTTATAGGACTATCTTGTTGACGTACAAGCACAAGACTCATGCCGTTGATTCTGATGGAAGGATTATCTCTAATGCTGATGTTGATTTCTACATTGATGATGTATGTTAAATTCTTATTTTATGCAACTTTATATGATTTTGTTGTCAGAGTAAATGTTTTTTAGGTCCTATATGAGAATTTCAGATTATGTTTGAAGTGGGTGACAATAGATAGTCAACATATTAGTGTTATCATTCATTTCCTTTGAAGTAATGAATGGTGGTCCACTCCTTAGAGAGACAGCAAAGGACCCCTCACTATTATAATGAGAAAACAAGAAGTTATCCTCTAAAATAATCTTCTCATCAAGGCTTCTTTTGACCCTGGTGGACATCCCAACAGATGCACTCATGAACAATATGTAGAATCTTGATGGTTCTATGTCTGAAAACACTAGCTTGATTAGAATTCAGGCTAGCTAATGTTGATAGATTTTTTTTACTTAAGTAGTTATTTTGAGTGAACTTCTGCTCTTTGGGCATACTGGTCATGCTTTTTTTTTTTTTTTCTGCAGGACATGATTCATGTTGTTGAATCCAAGCCAGTGAAGCGATATGGTGATTACTTCTTGCGGCAGATTGTTAAGGTTTGCTAATCTTATCTTTTTGTTTTTGTGCATGCTGATAAAGCTTATAGATGGATACTTTTTCACTATTTTGTGGTGGCTTTTGCTGTCCTTTTGTTACAGCTTGAGGGGGTGATAAATGACATGGACCGGGTAAAGCTGGAATAAGTTACCTGCTCATCTTTGCTTCAAGCTGAGCTCTCTAATTTTTGTAGTTTTATGTTATTATCATGCCAGATATTTCACTTTATTTATTTGGCAATTTGCTGAATTTACCTTTTCAGAAGAATGTGAGTGGGTTAGGTTCTGATATAGCACGCATTGTTGTCACTAAAAGTTATATCGAGATTTTATTTATCATATCACAACTAGATACCCCACATGGTTTTAACTAGTGCCGAAGTATATGGAACTATGACATGATAGAGGTGTGCTCTATTGTTGCCGTCGTGTTGAATTATTATTGGTTGGTTAGATGATGAGGAAAATCCCACATGGACCTTGGGTTCAGGCCACCATTAAAATCGTTAAAATTACTAATTTAATTATAATTTTATTAGTTTATTATTTTTTTAAATAATTAGTTAAAATATTTAAAAATATAAATTTATAAATTATTAAATTATAAATATTAATTGTTTTAGTAATTATTAATTTTTATAATAATTAAATTAAATTTAAAATTTTAATAACTTTTTTATAATTTTAACAAATTTAATAAAGACTACAGGAGGTTTTTTTTTTCTCTTCTTTTTTGGGCTTAAAGAATGAGATTATTGTTATATTTTAAATTGTTAATATTATATTTTTTTAATATAATTATTTATTATATTTTTATATTATATTTTGTTTCAAAATTTTATTTTTTTATTTTTTAATAAATTAAAAAAATATAATAATTAATTAAAATAAAAAAATATAATATTAATAATTAAGAGTGACATAATAACATGACTCGGATTAAAAAAAGGAGGGTAATATAAATTTAGATACAGCAACAATGCGGGGAAATGAGTTCCGTATAGCATCAGTAAACCAGAGTTCCGACAAGCATTGTGAGGTCATTGGATCTTGACTAGATAGGATTGGGAGTTACGATCTCGAGCTTCCTGTGGGGTCATTGGATCCTTGCGTTGTTAGGTAGTCACCCGTGACCACTGTTGTTAAAGTAACTTGCCCAAAAACAAAAGGAGGTATTGTTACCATCAAACTTGGGGTTGGGGTTGGTGATGGTTTAAGTGGAAAGATGTTGATTTTTGAATTAAAATTTTAAATTTAAATTTTATAAATAAAAAAATAAATATTAAATAAATTTTTTTTATGAGATTTAATAAAATTTAATTTTAAATTAATCTAAATACAGTATGATTTTTGAATATGAAAAATTAATATTAAAAATTTAATATAACTTTTGAATATTAAAGAATTAATAAAAAAAAAAAAGAAGAAAGGTATTGCTAATATATTGAATTGTTATTGATTCACTACCATACAGAACACTTAAACAGCACTGGCTATAACAAAAACCAAAACCCTAAAAGGCTTTCCCTAAAGATTAGCAATCTTCCAAAATCGATGAGTTCAGCGGCTGAAAAATATATCCTTTTCGCTGAAACAGAATGCTAATCTTTAAGCCGAGTCTGTTCAGGGTTGAACGAGCCTCTTCTCTCATAAAACAAAAGGCCATGGGGAATCTTTTGTTTAGGTAGAACAATGAATATATTAAACAACTGTACCCGGGCCGTTGTAGCAACTTGTCAAATAGTCCAAAACAAAACCGTTCAAATCTTATTTAATAATATCACCAGCAAGGCAGCAATGTCACTTTATTATTTTTATTTGTATTATTATTATTATTATCATCATTATTGGTTTATATACCTTTAAACTAATTTTTATATATATGAGACTAATTTCACTTCAATAAATTTTTAAGGCTTCATTAGTAATTTAATATTAATTTTAAAATTTAAATTTTAAGTCGGTTAAATTTTTCGAAACCTTTGTTTATCACCTATCAATGGCAGTGTTATAACTGTTATAATTGGTAGTCACTCTAGTTTTTAACCCCATGATGGGATCAGTACTGCCCTTTGAACGTTAGTTAAGCCACGCAATTATTGTAGATACGTGGATTTACGTTGCCCACTCATTTATAGCGATACATCTAACTTTCAAAACCCATATATTCTCATGATAAAAATGCGGAAGGAAAAGGCAATTCCTTTGGTCTTCATCAATTTAATTTTGGTGGTACTATTGAAATAAATTTTTTTATACAATTTTTATATATCATTAAATAAATTGATGTATTTAATACAACAACTCCCATATAAATTAAAAAAATAAATTATTTTAATAACACATAAAATTATATAAAAAATAAAATAAAATAATTATCCCAATAGCATTTTCTTTGAATTTTTGTGTGTTCACTCTTTCTTGGGGAATGATTGTGTAGACGAACCCTCGCCGCCTCCCTTCCTCCCTCCACCTGCCCCTCACTTACCAACCATCACATTTTCTCCTTTCCATGGGAGATGAGATAGAAGAAGAAAGAGTTTCTCCACCACCCCCGTTGACGCCACAGATTGCAAGAGCTCCGGTCAATTTCGGTCAGAAGCAGCATCAGCAGCCATGACGTGCATGCGGTGTTGCTTACACAATTCGCTTAAGATATCAAACTTGATCATGAACTTGCTAGGAATCGCAATGATTATCTACTGCCTCTGGCTTCAAAAGAAGTGGGATGAAGGTGTTGCTCAGTTGCCTACCACTAAAGATCTTCCTAGACCCTGGTATTCATGTACATATTCTCTATTTGTCAGCTCAATCTAACCTTTGAAACCGTATTTTCTTACTCAAATGTTAGCTAGTGCTTTTTTTTTTCTTTTGGAAAAGCAAATGTTAGCTAGTGCTATGAAACTATTTAATCTTTGCTCCGTTTAACAGGTTTATATATGCATCTTTAGGGGTCGGAATCTCCATCTGCTTAAGTACAGTCTTTGGTTACATAGTTGGTAATTCTCTCAGCAGTTCTACCCTTGCTGTGGTATCCTTTGCAATCAGCTTTCTATGAATTTCCTTGAAAATATAGGAATAATTTGTTTAAATTATATTTTAAAGTTCAGAATTAGTCTGTTAATATTAAACAAGGTATTCATTCCTATTCCTCAACCAAGATTTTTTCAGTACATTGTTAGTATCTGCTCCCTTCTTTTTCTCCAAGTTGCAGTGATTGTCACCATTTTCTTCAATTTCGCTTGGAGCAAGGTAATCCCTTTTCCTCCTTTTTCAAACGAGAATAGTGTTTTGCCCGAAAATACCAACTCTTCTTCTGGGTGTTCCCGCTCTGTGACAGGAAATTGCCGAATATATTGATGAGAGACATCAGAAGTTCGCGAGCTTTGTCATCTTCCATCTCAGAATGTGTCAATTTATTGCTATCATGATTCTAGTTCCCCAGGTAAAACCCCGACTTCTATGACTAATTTTACCAATCTTTGTGTACTTGGTTGATTATCAAACTCATTGTTTATTGGTTAAATGTTAATTTTGGTCCTTCAACTTTATAGTATTACATAATTTTAATTTTTTAATTATTTTTTACACTTTTTTTATCCTTCAACTCTAAAAATTACATAATTTTTATCTTCCCTTAATTAACCATGATGTAGTCGTTAAATAATTTCATCATGGCATTTTCTTTTAATTCTTTTGATATATAACATGACAATAATATATCTTATAATTGAGTTACATGGACAAATAAAAAAGCTACATAAGATGAATATTTACATTTTTAATAAAAATAAATTAAAAACAAATAAAATTACATTATTACCCTCTCCTTCTAGATCCATATTTTTCCCTTTCTTTCTTTCTTTTTCTTCCTCTTTCTTGCCTTTGCGTCGGTGGAACACAGATTTCCTGGTTTTGTTGAACCCAGCTACTGGGTTTAGAGTTGGGTTCCATCAATTTCTATTCTTATTTGGAGCTGGGTTTAAAGTTAGGTTTGTTAAGTTCACCAGGTTTTCTCATTGTTCTTTGGATTTCCATTCCCAATTCTTGATAAATTTGGAGTTGATTTATAATTTGATTGCCTTTATGTTGGAATTTGATTAGGGTTTGATTGAGATTATTTATTAAGGGGTTAATTTGATTTGATGAGATCTGTTGGGTTCCATACCAGGTTTGATCAAACTTAGTAGCTGGGTTTGATAGAACCCAAATGCTTCTAGGTTCAACCTCAGTTGGAGGCAAAGTTGGGAAAAAGATGGATTGGGAGGGAGACGGAATAATAACATAACTTTATGATTTTTTATTTCTTTTTTATTTCAAACCAAAATTGCAAATATGTTGTAAGGATTCACCCTTAATAACAATAGAGATAACTCAGCTCGAGCAAATCTCATCTCAAATTTCTTTCATTTGGATCTCCTAAGGTTTCACTGAGAAAAAA